TGAGGTGCCACGTTGGAAACATATTAACAAAAAAACCTTAACATAGGCATAAGTTATATAATGTAATGTATGTCTATCTGCAGTCACGTTTTTGGGTACTTTCCTTTTAAAGGGAACATTCATGGTTATCGATGATTACTTTACGATTTATCGATATTTTGGGCTTCCTTTACTATCCATATTCCTTCGCTTCTGTTTGATTTATTCAAACGCATTTAAACTACGAATTGAGAACTGCTTATTTGGATTAAAAAATGAAACTATATTTCAAACTAACCCAACATACTATTGCTGTAGGCTAAGTTTAAGTTACCATTTAAAAAATCCATTTAATAAGATAAAAGGCATGTGGGAAATGGAATAGGTTACCTATCAAACGGAATTTTGAAATTTTACAGCAAGTTTTGATAAGTTAGGATAGTTTAGAACAGTTTTATTCCAACATTTTTTAATGTTTGTTGATACTGAACAATATTTTTTATCGTAGTTGTCCGCTAATATTTTTCAATTTGTCAATATCTATATATATCATGGAATAAAAAAAATCAATAGCCTATATCGAAAATAAATCATCGATTATAATGTACGTTCCCTTGAACAGAAGAGGACCAATTCTTACAAATATTTCACTAAATAATTTATAAATAGAAAACTATTTTAAATACCACTTTTTTAAACGAATGAAGAAGTTAAAAATAATTTATAAGTATGTGGAGAGAATAAATACTTGTAAGATTTAAAACTAAAAATGCTGGACGCATGCAATAATATCTAATTTACAATTATCTTAAACTACAAATAAATAGCTATTGAACTTTTGTTATCTACTGCATGCACCCGCGTTTTTCGTTTTAAACGTTACAAGTACTTCTCTCCACATATTTATAAATTATTTGCTACTTTTTAGTTCGTTTGAAAACGTGGCATTTTAAAAAGTTTTTTTTTTATTCTGGCCTATAAATTATTTTCTACTTTCTAGTTTTTAATGTAAATATATTGAATTTATTTTATAAGGCCAATACATAACCAACCCCTTCAACTCTAATTCGATGTTAGCGAATTTCCCTATAGGGAAGTAGCTATTACCGTAGGTCTCATGGTAAGACTTAGGCCCGGACCGATTTACTTTTTCATTTTAATGTCCCCAGAGGCCAAAAAACACCATTCGTTCAAATTTTTATATATGTATATATATATATATATATATAGGTATATATATATATAGATTTATATATATATATATATGTGTCCGTGAACACGATAACTTGAGTAATTTTTATCCGATTTTGATGAAATTTGGTTTGAAGGTGTAAGGCGGGATAAACTTGAATGAGTTCGCGATCCAGCATGATCGGACCATGGGAACAGGGTTTAATGGGGGGTTTTATGGGGTAAAAATTGGTTTTTCTCACTTCTTACCCTCAAACACAAAATTTCCCAATTTTTCTCTAAACCTTCTTAAAGAGCTTAAAAAAACAAACAATTCAGTATATCAAAGTGTTTTTGTACGGTTATTGGTTACGGAGAAAACTAAAAAAATGATAAATTTAAAATTCCCATGTTATTCTTATGGAGAATATTGTAAAATGTTGTAGTTTGCTTGTTTATGGATATATTTTGATCAAACTTGGCAAATTTATTTATTTTATAGTAAGCTATCAATATTTTACTAAAAACACACTACTTTATTAGTTTCCTTGTAGCAGCAAACCTAGGTACTCGTTAAACCTAATGTTATTTAAATAGATCAATTGAAAATCAATTCGGCCAAATGGAAATTCGCTTAGACGGCAGGTTTGCTGCGGCGGGGGTATTTTTGCTATTCTCATAGTCATAAACTTTAGAATATTCTGGCAGCAGAAACTTTACCTCTCAACCTCTACTCTTTAAACAAACTGTCAAATGAATCTATTTACAGCTTACTTAAATTGATATATTTACATTCTTCCAAAATGTAAACATTAAAAATTCGGTGGCCCATGTGGCGTAGTCCAAGGGAAATATGAAAATAAAATCATTGAATATGATGCCAAAGATTACACATGCTACGCAAAACCATCGATAATAGAGATCGATGCGCAAAACACACCCTTATCATTGCATTGTTATCCATTTGTGAGCTATGTTTCAAGTTTCAACTCTCTAGCTCATCAGGAACAGGAAGATTGTTTAAAATTGATTGCAAAATTTGTACCGTACAAGAAAACGAGCTAGTAAACATTTTAAAATTGCTGCATAGAGAAAGATAATGGGTCAAGTTTAAAACAAAAGCAATTAGTTGAATACAAATCTCTATACTGTATAAAATGATTCCACATTTTATGCATCATATTCACGCCAAATTTTGAGGGCTGGGTTCTATCTCAAGGATCAGTTTATTTATGTTTTATTGGTCCATTCAAGGCATAAAAATGAGTAGGGCCTAGCTTAATTTATATTGCAATCTTTAAATGAATGTCTCTTTAGTAGACAGTTATAATAATCTAATTAGGCCAATAAAAATAAAGGGGAATCCGTACAATTATTTTTCGTCATACTGCAGCAAAACACCTGTTTTTAACGCATGCGTTGCTGGTCTAAAGTAGCATTTTTACTCCCTATCGGTTTTAGCCCCCAATGGAGTAAATATCAGCGGTTGTTGTCAACTCAGATGTGCATTTCTATTGTAAACTATTGCATCTGCATGTATCGAAAGTGTGTATCGATTTTTTAACCGATTGCAGTTACAGTAATTGTTGCCTTTTTGTAAATAGTTCAACATATCGATAATAATATACAACACAATCGTAATAGCAATAGGCAAGACGATTGAAACAGCTGTTGGTTTCAATTAGCAAATTAAACTGAAAACAAGCTAGAATTAGTTTTGAGAGGTTATCTTAAAATGAAAACTATTTCAGTTTTGTAACAGTTTGCTCAAACATTGGTGCAATATGACGAAAAATATATAGTTTATCACGCGGGGAAAAATGTGTCTTTTTAACCCTCGCTACTCGATATAGTATTTTTGTGTGAAATGTTTGCTTATTGAAAGACGAGGGCTTCAAAATCTAGTTTAGTATTTAATTTAAAATAAAAATCATTCTAAGAGTGAGGTGAACTTGTCACAGATTGGCCACTCTCTTCAGTATCTGCGCCTGTCACATGCCTTGGCCTCTTCCCTCAAGCAAGTGCCTGGGGACGCACTCCGCCCCCTGGGCAGTCTCCAGCACCTAGACATGAGCCACAACAAGCTGCATAGCCTTCCAGAGACAGCCTTCCACTTCCTACGACGTCTGAGAGTGTTGCAGCTGGAGGACAACATGATTGACAATGTCCACAAAGGCACATTCCAGGTACAGCAAACCACAATAAACTGGTACAGTCCAACCTCGGTATAACGAATCTGAAGGGACCGAACTGAATATTCGTTATACTAAGGATTTCGTTAAAATGAGGTTCGTTATATAGAGGTTAGGTTTGCAGGAATTTCGCTAAGTCGGGGTTCAGAACCAGCATCAGTCTATATAGGTCGGGATTGGACCTCATTTAAACACAATTAAAGTAGCATAGGCTACAATACTTTACAGTGTACAGTGTTTACATTGTAAAGTAGAACCTCGATTATCCGGGATACTAAAGGGAAGGGAACTTTAATATTGCGCAATCATGACATTTATAGTCATTGACCTTGGTACAGGTTACAAACTGTAAGTTTAAATCACAGCTTACTGCTTACTCCAATCCACCTAAAACCTAGCCAAACACTGTATTGCATAGCAATAAACCACGTAAAGAACAAAACAAAACAGTAGAGAGTTTTGTAAGCTACTGCTCGTGATAGGCCGGTGGTAGGCTACATTAGTACTTTAAATCACAATAGAGGAATGTACTGTAATTATCATGAACTTAGTACAAATCATATTGAAAATAATAAAAATATTAGATAGGCTAAGTCGTTATTGAAGTGTATAATGATAGCCAACTTAAAGATATTAAAAACACTCGTAAAAGGAATGTTAAGATATCCACGTTGCTATTCTTTTTCTTTGCCTTGATCTTCTATTCTTTTTCTTTCTAAGGTTTCTCTTCATCCAAAAATTGTACAATTCACCATATTTACTCATCACCCAATCACAGCAAACTACACATTAAGGCGCCATCAGTCCTCAGTGAATGAAATCAGTTCTCAGTTAGTTGTAAACATAGCGCGCATGCAACGACGACAGCAGACAGGGATGTGTAAAACGGAGCAGACGAATGTTAGTGCAAGCGTTGACGTCACCTTTCCATTTCATTTGATGAAGAAACAGATTTTTCAAAAGCAATAATGGTGGTGGGGGGTTCGTTGTATCGAGGGAGAGACGCAGACAATTCGTTAAGTAGAGGTTAAATTCGCTATGTAGAGGTTCTGACAATGATAAATTCGTTATATTGAGGTGTCTTATTTTAGCCGGGATCATGAAAAATTCGTTAAACAAGGTTGTTGATATGGATTGTTCGTTATGTAGAGGTAAAATATACATTGTGTCTTATGGAGAGTTCTAGGGGATTTAAAAAAGTTCGTTATATCAAGGAATTCGTTATATCGAGGTTCGTTATATCAAGGTTAGACTGTACATTGACTGTGCACCAATGCTTCTAGGTGTCTAGAATGCTTCAGCAAAGTCTTAACAAATGAAACTTAACAAATGAACCTAACAACCAAACCCAACAATCAAATCAGACAAGCAAGAGCTAAGTTTGCCACAGCTTGCAGTTTCTCTTGTTAAGTATTCATAAACTTAGATTAACCAATCCCTTAACCTTGATAAGTGTTCGGATTAACTTTTGAAATTTGACAATCTAGATAGTTACTATTTGAATAACACATTTCAATGTCAACCTTTAACAATTGTTTTGAATGGACAGATAGGTAAATTTATTTTCTACAACTCTCAGGATTGGTTTTGGTACTGCCCTAAAGTCGACATAAATTACCCTCCTCCCGCCTTGCTTTCAAAGGTCTAATATGCATCTAATAAGCTGTGAGTAAATGATGACATGTCATTATTAGAAAGGTAAATTAGTTTGAGGTCAACCCATGCATTATGTGTAAAGTGAACACTAATATTATGCATGTTTGAAATTAACTCATTTAATATTTTAAACACATTGTGCAGTAATAATATTATTTTTAACTCTCCTCATCCGTCCTCCCTCACCAAATTAATCCTCGTGCACTCAATTTCTACTGCTTGTTTGTGTTAAAATTAGCACAATAAAATTCAATATTTAGTGATTAACATAATGGAACTTTCCATAGAATTAATATTCATTGCTCTACAAAATATTAACAAAAATATGGCAACCGTTGTTCCCTGTTCAGTTTAATTTATAAAAAATGTATACAGCCCAATACAGAAATGTCTTGGGAAGCAAGCTCGTCTGGTAGAGCACGGGACTTCAATCTCAGAGGTCCCGGGTTCAAACCCTGCCAAATGACCATGACAAAGTGATAATGCCACAACCCCTAGGTCTAGCTTAGAGTAATGTGAAAAATCATCCCGACCCAGAGCTTAGTGTCTTAGAAATGAAGGAAAAAAATGTCCGCTGCTGATAATTTTCTGGCCCTTTGCAACTCCGGTCCTAGCAACTCATGTAAGGTTTTAAAAATGCTTTCTCTCATACAGATTGAACATTTTCAGTTGTGAGATTTTTACAACCTATAAGTTACTTTTTCCAGGGTGACATCCACAGGGAGCTGGAAGAGTTGTACTTCTCCTTCAACAAGTTGTCGGCTATCAACACACACACGTTTGTAGATCTGTCTCAGTTGTCGCGACTGAAGTTGGACGACAACGTGATCTCGCGTGTGGACCGCCGCGCGTTCATCAACCTAGAGCATCTACGCGAGCTGGATCTGCGAGGCAACAAGATCTCTTTTGTCAGCGACGAAGCCTTCCAGAATCTTCCCGAGCTGGAACACTTGGACATGGCCTACAACCAGTTGAGGATGTTCAACTTTGCCTGCTTAGACCAGGTAAACTCTTATAAATAATGCCAACATTGAGCTAAGGGAACAATTTATAGAACTACCTTGTTCTACTAAAGAGACGATTTAAATGACTTTGGCGTTTAAGAAATGGACACCCATGGCCAAGTGTCATGGTGAAATTATAATTACAAGTTATACAAGAATTTCACATTTTTTGTTGGTTTCTACTTACTAGTTCTATTTTATCTGCTAGGCTTGAAGTATGATGCACTAAAATCTTTATAACAATACTCTTGAATGAAATTATTGATTTTGATAGGTACAGTAAGACCTCAAAAATATGTCACCACTGATTACAAGTTTGACTTATCATCTAGTAAAGTTTACAAACTTGCTAGCAAGGTTCGCTGCATTGTGGTATAATGGGATATTCTACAAGATTTATTTTTGGTTTAGGTTGGAACTTTGGCAACATTCAAGCTCAACATGAGCTACAACTCCCTGCGTGACCTTGAACTGAACACAACCTTCACTGGAAGAGAGAACATCATTCATGCAAATGTTAAGGTAATAAGTGAACACTGAACAGTATATACCTAATATATATTTTGTATGCATGTATTTATATTTTGGCTACATATTTTTTCAAAATTTATTACAACTTGTTGAGATTATGAACGTACAAAGAAAAGGTGCCTTATCAAGATTGAACCATAACTATATTGTATCAAAAGATTCTTTCAAAATATACAAAAATGTCTTTCAGTGATAGGTGATTTGTGTGAAAAGAAGGAAATTTTACAGAAAATTTTTTTTTAATTAAAACCATCGTTTACCATACTTTTAGTTCCAAACAGTCAGCAGTCTTGTCAATTTTCTAACTTAAACTGGTCTTCTGTATCTCAAGGTTTTAGACATGTCACACAACAACATTACCCACATCGGCCGCGGCTACTTTCGCCCTGTGGAACGCAGTCTGACTCATCTCTACCTGCGACACAACTGGTTGAGCAACGCGACACGTGACGTGTTCGGCAACATGCCGCATCTTCAGTGGCTCGACCTGGCTCACAACAATCTCTACGAGGTCGACTTTGACAGCTTCAGAAACACCAAGAAACTCCAGGTACCAGCTCAATCATATTATCATTTTCAATATCCACAAAACAACACAATCATGGTGTTAATCAATGTTGATTTTATGGAGAGAAGAAATGGATTAGCAATAGACCTAGGTAGCAAGTCACAATAAACATGTGACACATTTGTAGCCATAAGTTTTTTGATTAATATTATGATGTTGGTCGTAGGTCTTGTACATGTCCTGGAACCATCTGCATGATCTGCCAGCCGAGCTCTTCCGCGGCTTGTCCAACCTGCGTGTTGTTGAACTTTCAGGAAACAGGTAACTTAATTTCTGTGAATAAAACGTTCACATTTCTACATTAGGCTAGCAGATGCTTTCAAGTAGCCCGTAAACAATACAAATATTCCCTAAGTTGTTACCTCAACCAAGGTCTCAGGAGCTTGACATGAAATTATGAAGCTGCTTCTATCAACAACTTGCTCTCACTGTATTGGCTGAATGTGAAAAATGTATCTCACTTATGATTGAAACAAGATTGTACTTTTAGTTTGGGACAGGGTTTTTCTTACCCAGTAACAATGGAAAGGTAGCTTTAGAAGAAAATCGTTTTATCTTTAAAAATATCATAACTCTTTGATGGATTTATCAGTTTAAAAAGGTATTAAACAATAACTATAAAATGATATTAGCTGTTATGTATTTGACAGTAAACGCCAAAGTAATTGAAACATAACCTTCTTAGATTCTTGCAAAATGACTTGGATCTGTTGCCTATAGATTATATCACTGTTTAGCATGTCAGTCAGTGATGTCATGGGCGTAGGGGAGCACATGAGAAGATGGGTTAGGTTTCAGTATCACAGGGTAAGGAAGGTTTTTTCTCCCCTTCTTAGACAGTCACCTCCAATGCACTACGAATAGACAGGAGGCAACTAAGACAGACCACTGGAATGATCATGGGTCATGGCTTAATGGAGACACTACATGTAGTCTGAAGAGACTGCAGATACGATGACTGCACAGCTCTGAATGAGGTAAGGAAAAGTATGGAACAATGACAAAGGGCAGATGTCTTCCTCATATCAGGAGAAGCTCATAGACAGGATACTGCTTGCAGTAGCACCTCAAGTTGGACAGGCTCTAAAGCACTAAATGGGGAGCGTAAAATTCTGTGGCTGACATAGGGACTAGGTCCGCCCTGGTTCAATCAACCAATCACTGTTTTGTTATGACCAGGCTCCGTTCACTGCCGGACTCATTGTTCAGTGAGGATGGTCTAGAGAGAGTGAGTGTGTCCTACAATCAGCTGTCTCGTATGCCAGTGTCTACCTTCAGTCCAGCGGCCGCATCTACCCTATGTCAGCTAGACCTCAGTCACAACGCCATCGCAACGCTCCACGCTCCTGAGACCTTCTCTCGTTTCAGGGTAGGCATGAATCTTAATGCATTTGAAATTTTTTACTTCCATCTGATTATACAAAATCTTTTAACTTGTTTAAATTTGTTTACCATATTTTCCAAGGTGTATGAAAGGTGCATCCAATTGATGAGTTTCAATTAGAGTAGTGTGAAGTATTCAAATGTGCACAGGAGCTCTTATCCCACCACTGTTGCTTTTGTTATTTTGTACAGTAATCCCAACATTTAATTGTTGTTGGATTAATTTTGATACCTCTAGTGTCTAGTGGTGTGACTCTCAGTGTTGGGAGCATTTACCTGGTTCCTCCGCACACCATTGGACCATCCTATTAAAAAAAAAATGAAAAAAAGAGGCCAAAAGATCCCTATAATCCAGGAATAATTCCCATTGTTGTGTTTCTACTAAACACACCTTACTACATAGTTTAATCAGTCTCAAAGAGCTATTCATAATAATGTTGTCATTAGATTTATAATAGGTGCAAATTTTAATACCCATCAGGACTATCCTAATTAAAGATTCTAAACGTCACCGGCGCAGGTTTAGTGCTGAATTACTAGACAGATTACGTGAACTTAAACTTTCTTGTCTTTTTTAACTTTAAATTCAGACATTTACTGGTAGTCCAAATATCGGTTTTCAATTTTAATATCACAGATAACTATTCAATATTGATTTATAAAAATTTAACAATTATTGATCATTAGAACGTTTTTATAACGTTTTTATGTTTTGTACAGTGGAACCTTGATAACAAGACCCTCGATAACAAGTCACCCTTGATAACCAGTGTCATTTTCAAACTCCCTAGAGTTTATTTTACCCTTTAATTACATGTTATTGCAAACCTCGATAAGAAGTCAACCTTGATAACAGGCCTTATTTGATAATCCCCATGAGAGTCTTGTTATCAAGGTTCTACTGTAACACCTTGTGTAATCAAATTCTAGGAATGTGGCTTACTTTGACCAGTTTTTGATAAACATCTGTTTCAGTCGCTGATGTCGCTTGATCTGTCGTACAATCGTTTGTTGAGACTGGAGGACTCGACGTTTGCCTCGATGCCAAGACTCGCCTACCTTGAGCTGAGCCACAACACAGAGTTGAGCCTCGAGCCGCGCGGACGCTCCTTCATCGGCCTAGACGACAGTCTGCAATACCTCGGTCTCGGCAATGTATCCCTCTCCTCTGTAAGTAGACCTAAGATTAGCTGCGGTCATATAAATTAAGATATATTTGTTCATGGAAAAGAGACATTTGAATTTCACTTGTTAATAGATTCTGTTGATACATAGAATAGAAATTCGTATGTCAACTTTAAACTTAAAGGAACTGTCTGCGTAAGGTCGGTTGTCTCTGATAAAAGATAAGTTTCATTATAAAGGTATAATATTCAATGTAACATTTATTTACTAAACATTATTTTCTGTATCAATGACACTTCGTAGATCGGAGTCAATTTAGTCCATGGAACAAGATGTCTATGGGCTCAGGACTAAATAAGTAATAAATAGTAATTAATGAAATTTGTAGAGTTCTTTAAAATTACATATAATATTTCATGTAACATTCTGTTAAATATAAACAGTAACAAAAAAGGACGTAAAAATGAAATAACCATACAAAATCCAAGCAGGTACAATCAAGCTAGCGAAAATAACCGAAAAACTGTTAGGACGGTGATTTTGCGACACTTTATTTGTTATATTAAACTTCACATAGGTTGAATTATAAAAATTGACAACTGGAAGTGTAAAAAAATCAAACAAACAACTCATTGCAATAAATGACCTATTCGTCCTAGGTTCCCGAACTTCCATTGCCCAATCTCCACACTCTCCAGTTGTCATGGAACTCCATCTCTGTGCTGCCTCCGGAGATGGCCTCCAATCTGAGTCATCTCCGCCACCTCGACCTCAGCAACAATCTCCTCACTCAGGTAGAGATTACAAATCATTAATCAGGTTAAGGGAATCTAAGTGATTGGCTAAGAATTATTTTGAAGAAGGATAGAGTTCAACTTGCTTACCTGAGAAAGTTAAGTCCATGGGCTGATAGATACACATAAAAGAACACAAAAAATAACACTCTAATTTTGTGCCAATCAAGAGTAGATTGAAGAGAAATTTAAACTACTTTACTATGGGGATGGAACAGAATCTAGTTCTATCAATAGGAGGATAATTATCCTGTATTTACCTTAGTAAAAGGTTATTCACTGTATTGACTTGTGTAACCTGTAGGAAATGTAATATTTGTTGTATCTAATGTGTAGAGTTTTAGATTCATATTATGAAGGTGCACTTGTGATGATTATACCAATAAGTTTTGGTAGTGCTTTTAAAGGAGGGTGGCTACTGGAGGGAGCTTCATATTCCCCAAAAAGGGAGGGGGGTTCAGTGACTGGAGAGTTTTTAAAGTCATTTTTATCATTTATTACTGTGACCAAAAACCTCAGTTACGTTTTTAGGACAAAATGTATGTATACATTTATTTGTACAGTGCTCAATGGGGGGAGAGGGGGATTAAGCCCCTATAGCCTCCTTCGCCCTTGGAATTGCCTCTGAGTTTTGGGAAAGCACTTCTGTTTTACATCTGTTGTACAATACATCTGTTTTTTGTCATTGTGAATATATATGTTACACTCAATCTCCGAATTCGGCCAATGTCCGAAATTTCGACCCACTCCGCGATGTGGATAGTGTGAAGTACCCACGTCGCGGAGTGAGCATTTTATTTCGGACATTGGCCGAAACGAAATGCCCAGACCGCGTTGTGGGTAAAATGATTTACTCAAACACCGATGTCAACACCTTCTTTGGCGATTGAGTAAATTCAAAATACCCACAACGCGATGTGAGCAAAATGATTGCCCAAGTCGGGTAGTGGGTATTTCTGGTTTGCACAAACGCCGACTAGTAGTATATAAACTACCGTATAGGCCTACCCATAAATCTACATGAAATCCACAATCACTAGGTAAAATAAATAAAATTTATGTATATGATTTTAACTATTTAATGCATAAATAGCATTTTAGAAAATACAAGAAAACAGCAAATTACTGAATAGGAACCAAAATATAAAAAGGTCCATTACACATACATTGAAATTATGTTTATTCCGCTTTGCAAAAATAGGCGTTTTGGTAGCCTTAAAACAGCAACACTAAAGGAAACACAAAGCACGTGCAGGTCCGTCCATCCTAAGCAGATAGTGCAAATGGTGGGAGTAACATGTCTAAACATAAATTCGGCGTTTTCACAAACTAGAAATACCCACAACCCGACGTGGGCAATCCCTCTTGCTCACATCACGTTGTGGGTATTTTAGATTTGCTCAATCGCCGAAGAACGTTATGACTTCGGCATTTGAGTGAATCAATTTACCCACAACGCGGTCTGGGCATTTCACTTCGGCCAATGTCCGAACAAAATGCTCACTTCGCGACGTGGGTATTTCACACCATCCACATCGCAGAGTGGGTAGAAATTTCGGACATTGTCCGAATTCGGAGATTGAGTGTAACATATATATTCCTTATTACCTATTTGAACTTTCAATTATATTCTAATATTGAGTTGTACTAAAATACTAAAATATTTTTTGAACTATTCTTACGTTGAAATATTTGCACACCCTTAAATAATACTCAGATTACCCATAGTTTAATTTGGTTGACATATTATAGTGACTGATTTAATATATTGCTCGGGATGCTCGCCTGACCAGATCTTGTTCAATCTTGAAAATTCAAAACTTTTTTAATGATTCAAAACTAGACCCATTTATTCTTGATCATTGGCCATTTAATAAATGATCCTGGCCAAGCTGGACCAGCTGGTCTTAGTCAGTAAAATCTATCATCTTATTCATTCAATTATCATTCACTCATCGACCAAAATTACCCCTAATACTGTTGCCGTGAAGAAATCTAATCTAAATGTGTTGTGCTGGCCAGGTACCCTTGGTCACTCACTCCCTGCCGCAACTGAGAGCCCTGTTCCTCAACCACAACCCCATCACAACCCTCACCAACACGAGTCTCCTAGGAGGCGCTGAGAGACTCCGGGAGCTCGACATCAGGCACCTGCCTCTCAACTACTTTGAGGTATTGTGGCTAGTTTGGTGTAAACATTGTCTAGTAGTACTACAATTATCGGATACGACATTAAAGCTAAAAAGAAAATTTCATGTTTCAATTATTGTACTAGTGAGCTTAGGTTAGATTGAAAAAAATGTGATGAAGGTAATGATTTTTTTCTGTGAAGAAATAAATTTCATTTCACGTATATCATGTATAAAAAACCATAATAATGATTATTTGCAGTATTTTTACTTTCTCCCCCTATACCATAGTATATGGAGAAAGTATTGTTTTACTTAGTATTTAATCTTCTTCTATTGGGCAATTATTTTACTGTACTAAAGTATAAAAAAATATTTTTGAAGTCAAGAAGATTACTTGATGTTGGTGATTTTATTTGAACATGCATAGTGTAGTAGGAACTAGGAATATAAGAGATTAAGTTTTGTCGAATGTTGCTTGAACAGTGTAATGTTCGGATATGTCTTGACAGATGGGAGCTCTGGGCAAGATGAGGATTCTGGAGACCCTGCATATCACCCCAACCAAGAATGTGGCTCACTTCAACCTGCCGGAACTTCTGCAGCATAACTACGGACTGCATAATCTGCATATTGAGGTTAGTCTGAATTCAACCCTCATAAAACTATAGGAGATAAATGTTCCATACTTGTACTGAAGCATTGTCAAAGACTCCCTCATTTATGGTTATCTCCAGTACATGAAGAGTAGAAGCTAGAGTGGAGGTAAAGAAAGGCACAAATAAGGGGGAGTGAGTGAGAGGTGAGAAAGACTGTGTTGTTCTGGATGTATGATGTTTCTTGCAGAATAGGGATGTCATACTGCGAATGGAACATGTAGTATTGTGAATGGAATTTTAATATCAAACACTTGAGATTACTTTTCTATTGTAGGAATGTTGTAAACTTCAACAGTGAAGTGAGTTGGTCAGTTTATTGTGGTTGAGTTTTCTCTTTCTTTCTCTTAACCCTCTGTAACGTTTACCAACTCTCTCTTTGCCTCCCACTAACTTGTATTGGAGTATCACCTCTTCCACTAACCTATGCATTTTCTTTGCCAACCCCACTGCAGGTAGAGGAGTGAGCTGGTCTATTACTTAAGCCTTTGGTCCCTGAGGTCCAGGAGTTCAAATCCTGCTAATCGCCAATGTATTTGATCCAAGTGATGATGCCACGTCCCTCAAGGTTCTACGATGTGAAACCTTACTAGAGATGCAAAATAAAAAGACAGATCGGCAAAAGTTCACTAAGAGAATAAGCGTATAGAACACTGTCCTATACCCAAGTACCTAGTTGTATATACATACCTGATCGATGGAGAAAAAAGTTTCTTTTTGTCTGCTCTTCTAAACACAAATTCTTTCAATCTTGTTCCTATTCTAAATGAACATGACTTGAAGTCCCATAAAGTACAACAATAGTTTGAATGCTGATTTGTTTCCAGGTTGACGACAAGAGTTCTCTCAATGAGGAGATGCGAGGAGAGTTTCCTCCTAAAGTTCGAAACATCACCATCAGCGGCAAACAGCTGAGGACTCTTGGAAACAACATCCTTCAGGTAATGCTAACCTTAAATTAAAGTTGTGTTTGTAATCTTACTACAATTAAAGATTTAAATATTCAAAAATATTTGTACATATTACTTTTCTTCTCTTCATTAGTAATTTCATATTTATTTATTACCTAATATCACCCAACATATTAGATACTCTTTAATGGTTCAAAAAAGGTCCCATCTATGTTTATTAGGCTCAAATTAATGATTAAGGCTTTAAATGACGACATTCTACAACAAAACAATAAAAAGTGGTTAGCATTTTTTATCTCCACCCATGATAACGTACCTTAAAATAAATAAATAAATGATATAAATAAGGATCAGCATTTATTTTTATTAGAGTTGGCCTTTCTCAAATTTTCAAGAAATTTGTGAGATAAAAAAAAAACTGACGACATTCTACAACAAGGCAATAAAAAAAGGTTCCCCTTTTTGTAATCTCCATCCATGATAACGTACCTTAAAATAAATAAATAAATGATATAAATGAGGATCAGCATTTATTTTTAATAGAGATGGGCGGGTCTCAAATTTTTGAGAAATTTGTAAGATAAAAAAATCTTGTTAGTTTGAGCAAGCTTGACTTTATCAAGACGAGATGATAAAAAAAAACTAAGAACGCCTTCGCAAAGGAAACGCAACAACAACGCGCTCCTGTATTGCAGGTGTTGCAGATACTTTTTGAAGGCGTTTTTTAAACTGTATACATCTCAAAAATTGGTAAAATGGGTTCATTCGGTAATTTGATTATCCATTATGACCCTGGTCCTGTCTATACCTGATATACTGGGTTTTACTGTACAGGGTGTCCCACTTAAGGTATCTAAAATTGATTACGGAAAAACGGCTCAACGTACAAGGATGAAATAAAATTATATCCTGCTAAATCGACCCCAAGGAATAATGTAAAAATATTTTAAAGTTTTTTTCTGATACAGGGTGTGCCACAAATTGAGGGTCACTAGTTCTAATCTCAGGATTTTCAAATGTAAACGTATGTCATGTTATTTATTTATTTTAAAGGTACTTAATAGAAAAAAAATTGGCAAAAACAGAAATTAATTAACTCTTTCCGTTTCAAAATGGTTGCAGTTTTTTTTTAAATGGAAAAATCAATATATTTTTAATACTCTGCATTACCTATGCCAATGACAGCCCTTCTCTGGTTGAATTTTCTTACTCGTTATGAAATTAGTTTTTCTGTGATATGCTACAAGTTACAATTTTTTGAAATAATAAAAATTCCAAAAAAATTATTTTTGCAAATTTGTAAATGCCCATGCTTAAAACTTTTTAAATCGCAACATATGTCAAGTGGCACATCATTTTATAGGTTTTTTGTAATTCTTAACAACTTTGTAATTTACATTTACTTGGTATCTCTTTTAGTTTTTGTGTAAATAAAAAAAAAACAATTTTCCTATATCAAAAGCATGTTATTTGGGTACTTTAGTTGTTTTAATAGTGCTTTATTGATATTTATTAATCATTGTAAAACCGCAGAAATGAATAATTACCGCTAGTAATGAGATCTATAATCTCGTTGAATCTTGTCTCGAATTATGATGAGAAAAAAGAATCTTGTCTTGAACCCTAAATACAGTCTCGTCTTTCCCTAATTGTTAATCCATCAATAAATATCTCCCTATTGCAATGAGTGTGGGAAATATTTTCAACTTAGTAGATGCTGAAGGTAGTGTTTTTTGCAGGGTATTCGTTATCCATCTCTGAACTTCACTCTGCGCAACACTAGTGTGGAGAGTCTGCCTCGTAGTCTTTGGAACAACTTGCCTTACGTACGCAACATCACTCTGGATCTGCGTAACAACTCTCTGCGCATCGTAGGTAACCCCAACACCGGAAACTTCCCCAACGAGCCTCAGCGAACCTTCCTGCAACGTCTCTGGCTGGGCGGCAACAACTGGGCTTGTGACTGTGAGCTTGGGTATGAATAAACAATAAACAAAGCTCTCTATTACAAATGTTCTTTGAGAACAGTACAGTTGAGAGAAATGGTCCAATGTTTAGATAAAAGTTGATTGATAGTGTTGGTCCATGACAAATTCCTCTCCTTGGAGTGCTGGTGGCTTGAAATACTTGTTAAAAACTATATTCGTTTAATTGATTATATTTTCGCTGTCAACTGTGGTATCAAAGCTTTTAGAAGCTTAGTCCATGGGTGAAGACAGACTTTAGAAGTTCCAGCGCTAGCTATCTTTGAAATTGTTCGTCCTTGGCTTGGTGGTTGCATATGAGATACATAAATATACACTGACATTACGAAGGTAACAAATTTAAGATTTATCTAGTTTTATGGAAGCTTACTTCCTTAAACCCTCTTAGGAAGTCCACTTGATAACTGCTTATATAATGTTGCAGTTGGGTAGAGGTGTGGCAGCGTAAGAAGCGCCAGCTACTGTGTCGTCACGCCACGCCAGATCATCAGGCCGATCCTCACTGTCTCGGTGCAGAGGACGATTTACGGGAGACTCACTGCGCCAATCGTGGACACCAACCCCTTCTGGAGGTATGTTGAGTAGGGAAGAAATCAATATATGTCGTTAATATTGTCACTTACCCAAAGGTTCTTTTACGTTCTGAGAGGAAGTAGACATAAGTGGGTTCTTAGGCCAGGGAGGAAGGCAATTAGACGATGAGGCATTGTATAAGGTTGAAAAGAGGGCCACAGGAGAAGACATGAGAAGATCAGAAATCTTGATGACAGAAGCCCGTCACTTGCAACGCAACATACTTCACAGTTTATCTGCACATTTGCAGTTTATAGATGGGCAGTTGCCCAAACTGTGAACTGGGATGAACTTACTTCACTGCACTGTGCAGGAGAGGGTGCATACATTTTCATTGTGGTCAATATTTCCCCTCCCTAAGATTCCATTGCATCGTTCCGCTGTTACTTAGTGGGGAGCCAGGTTTACTTAACAATTTGTCCAAGGCAAGAGCCCACCTTCCTGAGCCTGGACACATTCGACTTTCGAGAATTCTCTATTAATATCATTAACTGTCTGGTGGGGGACTTCATCTTTAACCCACTTTCCCTGTACGTATTTATCTTGCGGACGTTACGTGACCAATTTCGGATTACTAAGGCAGTCCAGGAGACTTTGCAGATCCCAACAGCCTCCAAGTAGCTGGAAATAACAGTACTATGCCACGAGTGCTGTCCACTGGCGCACTCGAGTACCGGATCTAGAGCACGACACTTCACAAATACCTCTGATGTGCGAGGAATAAATAAATTTAGAAAGATCCTTAAACTAAAAAGGCCAAACTCTGTGGGAAGAGTAATTGATAAACAAAATAAGGATATACCGAAATAGGTAACAGAAACAGTATGCCTATATAAGTGTCGGGTCGGCCAAGACAAACGATCCAACTGAACGTGGCTTGTTGATGCCAGCATTGGTTTTGGGTAAAAGGGGAACTCCTGAAAAAAAAAACGGAAACTATCCATTTTTGAGCCAAAAAGCGTTACCGCCGTTCTAGGGTTCACAACCCTGTTAGACAGTATATATATCCGTCATGAAAATCACCCTCTCTCTCACATACAACAATCGAAAGTGAAAAATGGATACTCAGCCATTTTTCAAAATGTTAACTATTTAGTAAGTACCAAACAAGGTAATCAATCAGTAGATCATTTTTATTGTGATTTGTTACTTCTTCTCAATTGAAACATAATTAGCTGTACAAGTATTTGTATGCCACACTGTTATCTGTCTCCTTGTGCAGGTACTGAAGGCTGATTTGGAGTGCGGATGGGGAGCCGGCAGCAGAACCACCAACACATTCACACTTCTTACTCTAACTGTGCTTCTGTCCTTCTTCGTTGCATTCTAATCTTTAATCTAATACTCTATGTTCCTTCAATACTGTCTTTATAATGACATCTATACTACCAACAATGAGATACTTGAGTAGGCTAGGCAGTTCGAGGCAACTCGATCAGTTAATTTAACCTAAAAGAAATTTCAATGTTTTGGAACTACTTATTTTTTTAGTTTTAAACAATTTTTTTACCGTTAAACACTTACTAGGTTTTACAAACTAAAACATTAGATTCTTTCTTTGAAGAAATTCTGTGATATTTTAGAATATTCTTTCCCACTTGTTGCTTTAACTTGATCCCTGAATGTCCTGTATAGTTCAATGTGGAGGAATTTCTAAGGTTCACTACTATTTATTCTTTCATTAAGTTGTTTACTTGTGTACTGATTGAATGATTCTCGAATTCTACACCATTATCGAGCTTTAATGTAACTAGCCTTATGTATAAACTTGTGTATTTTGTAGCTATATTTTTCTGTCTGTACAAATTATACAGTTAAGACAGTTTTGTTTAATTTATTGTACTTTCTTTTATGTATGTTAATTTGATAATCATATGTCAGTTTTATTTTTATTGGCTGTGTTTGTACGATTGAGTGGTTTTTATTTATTTATTTATTGTAAGTTTTTGTGTTGAATGTTTGTAACTTACAACGTTCGTTCAATGTTGTTTGGATTTTTTGTCTATTACTGTTTGGTTAAAGATTTATTTAATAAGTGAATCTCCCACTATGAGTCAAATTTTTTGTAGCAATGCAATCAAATTTGCATTCTCTACATCTGAACTGAACATTTTCAATATTCATATTTGGTTAGTTATAAAAATATTTGCATTTTGCCATGCAGGAGACATGTTAACAAATTTATCTGGAATAAAATTCAATTAATTTATTAAATTGCATATTTTATCACCTACAGAGCAAAGAGTCTCCTCCCTGTACAAAATACAGGGTGAAGCAATGAGAAAATCCCAATTTCTGTCACTGTCACATAATAAATATTGCAACAATTAATGCAAAGCTATGTTTACCTCAACTAAACTACTGTATGACATTTTAGAAACATTGTGCTATGTTGTCATGGACTCCATATTTTTGCTATGAAAACTTTTTTAAGATCAATGATTAAACTCAGAAGTTGTTTGGAACCATTCAATGCTGGTTGAAACTTGAAATGGTGCTGTTCCGGGTCAGAAAATGATCGGGACTGAAATAAACTTAATTTGAAATACAGCTCCAAATAAAAAAAAATGAATGGGCGTAAGCCACCAAACTCCAGCAGGATGATGCCACTGCATGCACAGTCGATCGATTGCCGACCGCACTGAGAAGTGTTTTTGATGATCGTATGATCTCTAGATTTAGAGTCAGAGAGTTTTGACCAGCTCAATGGGCAGATTTATCTGTGATTTCATCCTATGGAGCTGTTTTAAGTGCATGGTTTTTCATAATTTCCCCTGGATTCGTTAAAAAAAAGGAAAGAATCACCCAGGAAATCCAAGCAATTCCTGAAAAAATGCTGTAACGAGTATTTGACAGATTTTTCAAGCAACATAAGAATTGAACAATTCAAGTACTTTTTGGATTTGACTTGAATGGCGTTGTTTTCAATTAATTGAAAAAAATTGACTATCAAGCATAAAATGGCATGAGATAAACTTTGGTTTGCTACCCATAGGGCTAATAATATTCAATTTGAACTGTGGATTAAATTGGGGTGTTCTCATTGCCTAACCCTTTATAAGTAATACAACAAATGTTTGGTCTTGACCAGTTCCACCTAATACTTGTTTAGCCAATGGTTAAGACTTTCCCATGTAGCACAGATGGTTGGGCCAACTGTGGGACAGTTGGACGATGGTTGGTTGGAGCTTCCACAACCAACCAACCGTTGTCCAACTGTATATCTCGTAGTTGGGCCAACCAATATTTACAACTGTGGACCAACATTGGTTCATTGTTAATGAAATACATTAATATGCATTGCTGGGTATCATACATCAAGCCAACCGTTGTCCAACCGTTTTTCACTCCGTTGGACCAACAAAAGATACTTTTGTTGGACCAACAATGGTCCATAGTTGAGTTTACACGACTTTCATTCTCTGGGTCTAGCTTTCACAACATAATTATAATAAAATATCTGGTTTTACAATACCTTTATCAGTTCCAAAAGTTTCCAAAAGTTTTTGGAACTGATAAAGGTATTGTAAAACCAGATATTTTATATATTACAGTTCCGGCGCTACAACAATGAATTTTAATAATTTTAATAATGCAAATATTTTTTAAATTAATATTCTTTAACTTATTTGGAACAATTTAAGGGGAAAGAGTAATTAATCATATAACAGGCAATTATAATAGCATTAACAATCTAACGGTAATTAATTAATCATTCAAATACCAGTATCCTCTCTAACTCAAACAAAAAAAAAAACTACTTATGATGCCTTAACAGATTAACAGAATCATATTATACTGTGTAGTATCAAAAATGTTTGAAGTATTGCGACCATTGCAACTGTCGGCTACTCTTTCACCACTTGAAAACTCTCTATATCAGCAATCACAGATAGCTCAGTGGTAAAGTAAGAGGCTCATAAGTCGAAGGACCCGGGTTTGAGACCCGTCTGGGCCAAAAAATTTTGTTCTAGTTTTTTTTTTCAAAATTTGTTTTTATGAACTATTTAATCAATTTACTCAACTAATAATTATGCTTTTCGTACTAAATCTTTATTATTTTGTGTGAAATAAAACGGTTGGACAATGGTTGGCTGGAAAACAGTTTAAAGAGGTGACATTTCTACCGTTGGCCAACTGTGTGGCTCCACAATTTACCAACGTTGGCCCCTGTGCTACATGGGTTGTTACATAGTTCAAACCTAGTTGCTGTATAATTTTGGTTTCATGTAAGGAAATGTATTTTGAATATTTCACAATCCTCACTCTGTTAAGTGTAAACATCGGAGATGTAAAGTAAAGAAACTCGTGAGCACAGTTAAAGAAAGGGATAAAAACATGAGTGGAAACATTCTTTTACTGAGTGTCCACGGACCAGTAAAAAGTGTTTAAACTTAACACAGCTCTCGAAGGGGAAAATAACAATTTCAACTCTCATTTTCATATAAATGAGCGCAGCCTTGGGCTACTTCTTTCTTCTCATCAATGCTTCCCCCTACCTTAAGTGATAGGAAAATATAGATTTTTAATCGAGTAGTTCTTAAATAAGTACTACTTGAAAGTATTGGCATAGACTAAACAACACAAGTAGACTCATCATACCATTGTAAATTTTGAAGCTTGTTTTTCCACCAATAACAATAATTAATAAAAATAATTATTTTTTGTTTTTAGCGAATTTCCCTATAGGGAAGTAGCTATTACCGTAGGTCTCATGGTAAGACTTAGGCCCGGGACCAATTTACTTTTTCATTTTGGTGTCCCCAGAGGACAAAAACACCATTTGTTCAAATTTTTATATATGTATATATATATATATATATATATATAGATTTATATATATATTATATATATAGATATGTGTCCATGAACACGATAACTTGAGTAATTTTTATCCGATTTTGATGAAATTTGGTTTAAAGGTGTAAGGCGGGATAAACTTGAATGAGTTCGCGATCCAGCATGATCGGACCATGGGAACAGAGTTTTATGGGGGGTTTTATGGGGTAAAAATTGATTTTTCTCACTTTTGACCCTCAAAACACAAAATTTCCCAATTTTTCTCTAAACCTTCTTAAAGAGCTTAAAAAAACAAACAATTCAGTATATCAAAGTGTTTTTGTACGGTTATTAGTTACGGAGAAAACTAAAAAAACTGTAAATTTAAAATTCCCATGTTATTCTTATGGAGAATATTGTAAAATGTTTTAGTTTGCTTGTTTATGGATATCTTTTAATCAAACTTGGCAAATATATTCATTTTCTACTAAGCAATAATTATTTTACTTAAAACACACACTTTATTAGTTTCCTTGTAGCAGCAAACCTAGGTACTCGTTAAACCTAATGTTATTTAAATAGATCGATTGAAAATTAATTCAGCCAAATGGAAATTCGCTTAAACGGCAGGTTTGCTGCGGCGGGGGTATTTGTTTGTTTGTTTTGAAGCTAGTTCGTGTACGTTCACACTGGTCGCTGGGGTAGACAAAATTTTTGTTCTATTATTTTAGGGTTATTTTAATGATTTGTGCTTTACTGTTTGGTTATATAACTAGAGGATGAGTTATTGTTTATGATTATATAGTTTCATTTGGTTAAGAGGTTTTAAATGACTGAAATAACATGAAACAAATTGTAAACTAAACACGAACCCTACAGGTGGACATACAGAACTAACAATAAAATTTGCTTCAGTAAAGTTGTTCCATAAGGATGACAAATCTACTGGGAGTATGTTTTATCTATGGTATTAGTATGCTTAGATAGTGCGCAAGACTTTTCTAAAGAGCAGGTATTGACGTAAACAAATTCCAAATACATCCAAATTAAACACTTACTAGTTAGTTATAAGTGAAAAATAATTTTACATTTAATAAAATCCTAGAATTAAATATTTACAACAATGAGTTTAAATTTAGATAGTGCTTAAGATGACCTTAACGAGCAGGTATTGACGCAAGTTAAAAAATTCCAAATACATCCAAATGAAACATCGATTGGCTATAAAGTAAAAGTAACTTATTATTATTATTTTTTTATTGATTTGATGTAATTGAACGGATACAACTATTAGTTTAGATTGTTATGACGTTAACCTATTATTGGTCATGTTGCACAATAATAATAATTGTCATAAATTACAAAAAGTTAAATAAATCACAGCAACTGAACAAAAATATAATAAAAAGTGGAAAAGTTGGTTTTACTAGATTAAGAAGTAATGCTAGAATTAGGGCATAAACTGTGCCAGTTCAAACAATGTGAAGCTTTAAATTTACCTCAAATGTCTGTCTCCTGAGTCCTTATGGCATCTCTAAAATAAAAATTTATCATATATTTCCAAACAATCATTAAATACGTGATAATTATCGATTTGCACCATTGTTTTTCTGTAAAAATTAAATTAATACTAGTATTTTTAAAAGTTAAACTGTTAAATAATTGATGGGAAAGGAATGTATCCAAAATAATTTAAGGCAAATCTTTCTCTCCACGATTGCTTTATTTGAATTAAATTCCGGTTGGTTACTAGGCGAGATTAACAAAACTTTCTTTAGCCAAGGCAATAAATGCAGTTTGTATTTAATATATAACAATTAGAATGATAATGTTAGAAAAGAAGTGTGCAATAGCAAAACATATGATTAGATATGTTGAGTAAATGATTACAATTTATTTTATGTAGGGCCTACTCTAACGTAAGAAATTTTAAAATATTGATGAATACATTTTAAACAATGTCTTGAAAAAGGTTGATCCAAAGATGAAGTTGGTGTATATGAACTGATTTTTCTATAATCAAAAAAATACGGTATCCTAAAAAAAAACAAAAAAAAAAAACATGAATGATCTTATACATATTTCTATAAGAAAAAAAGTTTTGTAATATAAAACAATACATGTCATTGCTATATTTTTTTTGTCATAGGACGCTAGGACGAGCCTGGGATTGTTTTTACTTCAGGCTAGACCTAGGGGTTGCGGCATTATCACTTAGATAAAATCCATTGGTAATTTGGTGGGATTTGAACCAGGAACCTTGGGAACCGAAGTACAGCTATTTGGTTATTTCGTAGTGAGTTTTAGAAAAATTCTATAAAACTATTAAAAAAATTATGTGTTATTTTGTCGGACCAGATTAACTAATTGATCATATTGATTTTCAATTTTTCTCCAAGTAACATACACATTTAACTAGTATTGTTAACTAGGTT